TCCCACCAAACACTCTTGCCACCATTTCAAAACATGAAGACCCTCCTGGGTCCCTGAGCTGCGCAAACACAGCGGCCCCAGGCTGCAGTGCAATCCCTGATGCCAAGGGAAGTGTCAGATGGACCCGGTGAGCTGCTGCACTGCTCGGAGCCTCGGTTTCCCCAGTGCGAGTCCCACCTCTGTGCCCACAGCACAGCCAGGCAGCCCTGCGTCCCAGGCCCGGGCGCCAGGTCTCAGAGGACCTCATGGGGCTGTGCTGAGCCTCCCAGGCCCTGGGCCCCAGAGCACGTTGTTGGGAAACAGAACCCAAGCTCGGACGGCCATGGAGGGCAAAGAACCTGCTCAAGGGCCCCAGCGGCCTGGCCGACGAGATCAATTTTGAGGACTTCCTAACCATCATGGCCTACGTCCAGCCCATCCACGTCACCATGGATGAGGAGCAGGTGCAGCTGTGCCAGAAAGAGAAGCTGCGATTCTGTTCCACATGTATGACTCGGACAGCGACGGCCACATCACCCTGGAGGAATATCGAAATGTGGTGGAGGAGCTGCTCTCGGGGAACCCGCACATAGAGAAGGACTCGGCCCGCTCCATCGCCGACGGGGCCATGATGGAGGCGGCCAGCGTCTGCATGGGGCAGATGGAGCCTGACCAGGTGTACGAGGGCCTCACCTTCGAAGGCTTCCTGAAGATCTGGCAGGGGATCGACATCGAGACCAAGATGCACGTCTGCTTCCTTAACATGGAGACCATGGCCCTCTGCCACTGAGCGCTCCCTGCGGAGACCGCATTTTGTACCACGCAGCACCCCCCGCCCCCCAGGCCGCACTTTCTCAAACTTTATCCAGCTTTTAGTTGTTGTTTTTTATGCCTCCAATATGGTATTTCTCTAATTACTTACATATTCTGTGGAGACCATGGCCCTCTGCCACTGAGCGCTCCCTGCGGAGACCGCATTTTGTACCACGCAGCACCCCCCGCCCCCCAGGCCGAGCAGCCCCCGAGGACTGAGCAGCCGGGGCGGGGCCTGCGGCCACAGCTCATCCTGCCCCCCAGGACAGGGCATGGTGTGTGGGGCTTTACTGTTTTGATCTCTAATAAAAAAGGAACAGGGTTTGTTAATGAAAAAAATCCACTGAGCCAAACCAGCTAGGGCCCTCCCTGCATAATTTTTTAAAAAATCTATTTTTTTTAAGTAAATTTTTTTATTTTGATTGATTTCTCAATGAACGGTTCAATATAATGCCAGTTTTTAATGGCAAAAATTTGGTTCCAAACTCCATGATGCTACAGAGAGCTACTACTTTTCCCAGGAAGTAGGTAAACAGCTGGAAACAGAAAGCACGACTTCCAAGCAGCATGGCAACTTCTTACCTGCAGACCCAATAGCCTGCACCTTCTATACTCTAAACGGCACAAAGATGAGCTGGTGACAAAAGTGAGAAGTGGGGAACAAGATATGAACACGGAAAGGAGCAATACATGTACATAAAGACAACAAAAGTGCAAATACTCTAAGGATTGTAAAGGATAATTATAGAAAAGAGAACCAAATATTTTACTCAAATGTTTTTTAGAGACTTTCTGTAGAGATACAAATATATAAC